CCCCCGCTCTCTCTCTGTCTCTCTCTCTCTCTCTCTCTCTCTCTCTCTCTCTCTCTCTCTGCCCTGAGTGTGCAAACCTGAACATTCGGCAAAATGCCATGCCCGATTTGGCCAAACCTGAACTTGAATTCTTCTTAAAAAAAAAAAAAAAGAAATCCTGAATAAGGCTGAATTTGAATCTGGCTAGTTCTTGGGAAAGGGAGAAAAGCAAAAATCGAAAAGGATAAAAATATCCAATGCCCGTATGGTTGCATCATACATAAGTGTAACTGTTAGCCTTGAGGATTATTAGGAAACAGAACTGTTGTGTTCCAAACTTCAAATCCTGATGGAATCTGATGAAGGCAATAAGCTGGCAGATGTGACAGGCTGTTGTGTTGCTGTTGTGGTGAATTTTCGTCGATTTTATCGATGAAAGCTCAGGCAGGTTGAGTTGTCAAAAAAGAAACACCGCCAGCATGTGCGTGCGTGCGTGTGCGTGTGCGTGTGTGTGTGTGTGTGTGTGTGTGTGTGTGTGTCTGTGTGTATGTAGGCCTCACAACACTTCTGTCTCCAAATGTGCAAAATGAAAATGAATCCTCCGCTAGAACATGGAATGATACATTGCCATCTTTTTTTTGTCTTTTGTGCATCTGGAGACTAGTGGAGCGAGGCCCTATGTGTGGGCTACGGTCTTCACCCGAATACAACGTATGGTCATTCTTGCAGTATCTAGACTCAAAGTTGCCCCGGAGCGTAGTCATGTGTGTGTGTGTGTGTGTGTGTGTGTGTGTGTGTGTGTGTGTGTGTGTGTGTGTGTGTGTGTTTTGCTTTTTTGGTTCTGCCTGATGGACATTGTTTATTTTGTTTGTGTTTGTTGTTCATTTGATTAACAACATTTGATTAACAAAATAAACATTTGTGATCTTGATTTTCGGGTGCAGTCCAGTTGCGTTGTGTTGCCAGGAGCAGAGAAGAGGGCAGTGAGTGGAGGGCCCATTTGTGGAGACCAGTGTCCCTACAGGCTGTAATTGGGGTCAGATACATTGAGCCCATTTGTGGAGACCAGCGGCCGCGTTGGCAAAGCTGAAATGTGTGAAGGCATATTCACACTTGTTTGTTTGTTTTTTCAACTGGTTCCGGACGTTTCGTGGTCATGATATTCACAGGATCCCCCCTGACCGTAACTTGCGTTCAGATTCACTCAGCAAGTCCTGGTGTGAGTACTGTCTAGAACGTCCACAGATGCAGTCCCGAAATCTGAAGCAGCGCTCCATGCAGTCTGTCCCACATGCCTCTGTCTACCTGTCATTGTTCGCAGACGTCAGTTAGGTCCACAGGTACCCGGTCAGTTTGGTGAAGATTCACGGGATCCGCGGGCAAAACTTTGCCGAACCTTCGCCATGCGAGTTGGAGAAGGAAGCATCAGCGGATGACAAGGCACAAAAATAGCTCTTTTTTTTATTGTTTTTAATTCGAAAAGTATTTTTTGGTCGTGAGCAGAGACCCGGAGTTGAAGAGGTTGCTGCTTATGTTCTCTCAGAGGGGGGTGGGGCAGGGGGTCGTGTCATTGGCAACGTAGAATGCGCAGTTTGTTCAGGCCCCGATTCTTTCGCTTTTCTCTCTACCTACCTGCATAAGCTGTGGGCTCAGGAACAACTCGCAGCTACACATAAGGACTTGTTAAGGAGTAGGTAGGATAGACATCCATCAGCCATCAGGATGTCGGGAGAAACTGGGAGGGAGAAAAACTGGGAATGAGTAGTTGTGTGTGGAAGGGAGAGAGAGATAAGAGGAGAGGATAGATATGGACACAACCACAAGCAACACCACCATCGGACTAGGACTTCCCGAGTGAATCTGACCACAGTTACAGCCAAAGAGAATCGAAAACAATAATTGCTCAGCAAAAAGATCAAGGCACAAGAATTCAACGTTGACGGAAGAGCGCGGTAGAGGGTGGGGGATCGGGATGGCGAACCGCGTGACGACGGGAGTCGGCGGGGAAAGGGATGGGGACGGGAATGATAGAGGAGCTGGAGGAAGACGGCGGGAGAAGGCGGCGATCGGGAGCAACAGGATCGTGCATGCTGCCAAGGGTATGCTGTTGCCGTCGTGGCCGGGATCCGTCCTCTTGTGGCACAGTTGTGTAGTAGTGCTCGCGTTTGTGCTATGCATCTGTGCCCGGACGACGTGTGCACAGTTTCCAGGGGGTGGTATCGCAATGCCTTCTGCCCCTGCTACCCCTGCTACCCCTTCTATGCCTTCTATGCCAGTTGCGCCTCCGGTCATGCAACCAATTCAAGCCAGGGACTGGAACATGCTGTTGGGCACGCGCTGGACGGAGTGGCCACCTTTCATGGACTTGACCAAGGCGGGGCTGGAGTACCTCCAGGGTGATTTGAATACGCAGTTCGCGCAGTCGTCCGCGGATATAGAGAGCAGGCTTGGGAACGGGAGCACGACGTTTCTGGTGAGGTACTTGGAGAGCATGGCCGACATCGCCTATTACCTCATGCAGAATGTGACCGGAGGCCAAGCGTTCATAACTCCAGCGGCCGGCTGCTGCGGCGGCGAATACGGCCATTTCTTCGTGTACACATCGTTGTACACAATGAATATCATGAGGACAAATCTGTCGAGCGCATTTGTGGCGGTGCAAGCGCTGCCATGGTTTGTGAAGATTGAGCCAGCGCTGCTTGGAAAGACTCTGGATGACGCCGCCCCTTCGCCGTCGGGGGACGCGCCGAGCAACATACTAACAGAGCCTTTCAAGCTGAAGGTGGTACTGGCACCGGGGTCTTCGGCTTCTGTACAGGAGAGTGGCAATTATGGCATGCAGATTGCGCTTACCCTGCCAATAAAACCTCTCACGTATCAAGTTCTCAGCCCGGAAGTGATTTTATTCGGTTCGATGACGAAAACAATCGTCCAGGCGGTCGTCAAATCGATTGCGGAGCGACCGGAGGTCTTGTACATTATGCCAGTCCTCAGCTATGAAAAGCACAACCAGTGGGCGAAGGCTGTCATTCAGAGTCCTGTGCCATTCAACCTTACCCCGCTCTATGATCAGAACATCACGGGGCAGAATCAGATAGTTGGGCTATCGGACACGGGAATCGACATGCAACACTGTTTCTTTTCTGATCCGGAACACGCGCTGCCAACCGCTGCACCGGATAATGTGCACAGGAAGGTGGTTCTGTATAACACTGTGGTGGATGCAAACGACACAGTCGGCGGGGAGTCGGGGGGGGGCCATGGGACCTTTGTGGCTGGAGTGATTGCCGGAGCGCCGCAGCCGCTGAGAGAAGGAAACTCCAACGAAAGAGAGGTGACGTTGCAGTTCTCGGGCGTTGCGCGGAGTGCAAAACTGGTGTTTTACGATGTGGGTGATGTGAATGACGCTCTGTCGGGGTTGGAGGAGAAGACTCTGAAAGAGCTGTTGCTGGATTCCATAAAGAACAAAGCGCGCACCCATGTGGTGCCTTTCGGCGTCCAGAACAGGAGCGTTTCGACCCAGCTGTACGACCTGGATGCGAGGGATGTGGACGATGTGTCGTATCGTAATGAGAACTTTTTGGTGGTGGTTTCGGTTGGAAACGCAGGCGGCGACGGGCTGTACACGCTGGCATCGCCGGCTGTGTCGAAGAATGCGCTGGCTGTGGGTGCGTCGCTGAATGCTGAGCAGGGCTTGCAGTTCTGCGGGGAGTATTGTGGTCCTGTCTTCTGCCAATGTGCAGACAATTCCACTATCGGCCAGGTCGACCCCCTTTACTTAGCACACTTCTCCGGCAAAGGTCCCACCCTGGATGGGCGAATTAAGCCCGATGTGGTCGCCCCAGGTATGCACATCTGGTCCGCCTTGTCATCCAATTCGCCGAACGATGGTCATTGCAAGCTTACTTCATCGCAGGGGACATCCACGGCTGCCGCCGTGATTGGCGGGCTCGCTGCCCTTGTCCAGCAGTACTTCACCGAAGGCAGGTATCCTACGGGAGAGAAAGACGGCACGCTCGCATTTGATCCCTCCGGCGCTCTTGTCAAAGCATGCATCATACACGGAGCACGCGGACTGGTTGGCTTTATGGATGCACAGCTAGGTAACTCCTTCAAGAGGTTCCCGTCCCAGGTTTCCTACCCCAATCATTTTGAGGGATGGGGATTGGTCCGCGCGGACCGTTCCTTGTTGCTACCCCAAGTGCCGCAGTCGGTAAATGAAAATGCACCCCCCGCTATGTTTATAAAGTCTGGCCGGAAAGACGGTGCTGTCCTCCTCCCAGGCGATGTGCACGAGTATCACTTCGTGCTCTATAAAGCGTCACCCTTCCGAGTCACCCTTGTCTGGATGGACCCGCCCGCGGTCATCGGTGCGCTGTCCCCCATGGTTCACGACCTCGACCTCCTCCTGATCGATTCAAAGGGCAACGTTACGTACCCGAATGGTCTATCGTCCCCGGATAGGCTTAACAACGTCGAGAGAATCGTCATCAGCCAGCCCGATCTTTCTAGTGGCAATTTCACGGTCAGGATCAGTGCGGTCACGGTGTACCCGACCATGCTGAACAACAATGCTGGCCAGCCCTATGCTCTCGTTGCGACTGGTAGCTTCTTCAAGCCATTGCCTACTCCCAGCGTAGGTAAGGGACCAAGACAGCCCAGGCCCACCAGTGACTGCTTCCTCGGGAGCAAAACCACAAATGTGAACGCGTCTTGTCCTCACCTTGCCGGCGACAACTTCAACATCACCACTCTCCCAGTCTACTACCTCACTGCACCTCCGTCGAAAGTCCTTTACATCAATGAGACCATTGCGGCTATGGAGATTGGTGGAACCGCTCTCTTCGGTGACGTGCAATTGCAGTCGGACAATGCTGCAACCACGACCACCATCCTTAAGCAAGATGAGATCATCAAGATGATTGGCAACAGAAGTAACTATCTTTTGGGAACCGACCCGAACAGTAGCGGAAGGAGCAATTTTTATTCCTTCTGTGCATCGCTGCTGGTCATCGGATTGCTGATCGCCTCCTTCATCCAGTCATGCTAAGCTTTTCTTTTCCCTCCTGATTGGAGAAGCAAACACCTCCGTCTCTCACTCCGCATCCGTTTCATTCGGTAAGTGTTAACCTCCATCCTTCCTTCAATCCCTGCCCCTCTGTCTCTCACTCTGCATCGTCTTTCCCTTTATTAAAGCCTATATTTATATTGGGTGGTGACGATTGATGGCGTGCTGCCACATATATCTATGTCGCCAGGCTGACTCAGGTGGGGCACCCATTTGTAGCTGTTCTGTTCAGCTTTTTTTTTTTTTTTTTTTTTTTTTTTAAGAATCCGCCTTCTCAGAGGTCGCACTTTTCATTTACTACCTTCGTTCAAGTGTTTCTTTGATTCTCAAAGCTGACTCAAAGTGTTTCTTGCAATGCATCTGGACCAGCTGGCAGCCTGGCAGACTTAAATGTATCTGATCCGCTTTTCTCTCTCGCATAAGGGTCTTACATCATCAACTAGAGCTAGGGTATATGCACACTAACACTATTTTACTTATTTCTGGACGGAAATTTGTGGCCAGATGCATTGAGGCCTGGCCATAACTGCGGCCAGATACATTTAAGTCAGTGCTAGAGTGAGTACACCCTCCGATCTGAGAATAGTCATTTACAGTCTATAGATTTTTAGAAGGTAGAGTCGCATTCACAATTAATGCAGCTACGATATCATGTGCTTTTTCCTTATCATGATGCAGATGCTCAGTATTGCTGATGACAAAGAAGACAAACAGACAGACAGGCAGGCAGGCAGGCAGGCAGGCAGGCAGGCAGACGCACACACACAAACACACACACACACACACACACACACACACACACACACACAGAGAGAGAGAGAGAGAGAGAGAGAGAGAGAGGCAGGCAAGCAGGCAGACGGACAGATAGACAGTCGAATAGGGGCAGAGAGGCAGGCAGGCGGTCTGGGAGGCAGGCACGCTGGCAGGCGAGACAGGCTGGGCAGGCAGGCAGGGAGAGAGGGACGTGGACTTTACTAATAAGTCCAGCAGCTGGCAATTCGGCAGATAGACTGACTGAAAAGAAGTGGAAAGATAGAAGCATGAGCGGGGGGCTTCCACATGGGAAGAAAAGGGGAGGGAAGTTCTGTGTATGCGCGCGCGCGCGCGCGTGTGTG